CCTTACCCCGGAGGATAGATGGACACAAATCTGACATCAGGAATCACAAGACTGAGAAACCTGTAGGAGAACCCTTCAGCCTTCCCGGACATTCAGTGGGTGACCTCAAAGTAGCTGTTTTATTAGAAAGGAACCTAGATGTTGTAGGCATTCAGTGTCTCGTCAGTAGTCCTGTGTTGGTCAATCGCATTGTTGAATCAGTCTTCCACATACTGAAGCCCATTCAGCAAGCCACAACTGCAGTTCGGCTGTGTTTCACACCGTGATCCCGAAGATGCTGCTGTTAGACATACCGATTTCAGCAAGCCTGATGTCTGTAACAAATCTAGGGGCCTGTAGGCAGACAGAACTAAGATTCCGGTCTCTGGCCTGGAAAAGAAATCTGTTTGTTTGCTGTCATCACGTTTATCAATTTCAGGGTTTTCGGAGTCCAGTGTTTGATCTGTATCTGACCTGGCCAAGGCTTGTTCTGCTTCTGGGAACTGGGCAGGGATCCCAGGAACACCGTGGACACGGAAGAAGGTGGGAGGTCAGAGCAGCTCATATCAGTTCAGGCAACGACAACAAGGTTTAGGGAAGGGAGACAAAGCACGGACGAAACACAAAAACATTTATGTTGCTCAAGAGATAAATGAAACTATTAAATCTGGGTCTTCGGATTTAATGCTTAAAAGCACTCCAAAGTAAGTCAAGTCAAGCGGGGAAGGTACGGAACTGAGAGACAAAGGGTAGATGGGTGAGGAGTTTGGTACCGTGTTTTAAATAGTCAAATGAGTCCATAAAGCTGTTCCAGGCTGTGTGGATTCGCTTATTTTCCTAAATAGAATCTGGAATGTCAGAAGTCAGACACGACTCTCTCCCCGTGCATGTTCATCCTTTTGCTATGGGGGTCACAGGGACACATTAGAAAGCAAAGAACATTCTGCAGGATTTGTCACACCCTGGACATTCCCTGTTTGAACTGCTGCCTTCGGGCAGAAGATAGAGGACAATTAAAACAAGGACAAACAGATTAAAAATTAGTTTTTATTCGAGAGCTATTACTGCCTTAAATGCTGTACGAAATTGGAATTTGGGTGACATTGGTGGTTTTAAGTTGCTATGTGAACCTTAAGGGAGTTTTGAGATAGTTGTGAATGGTGGTGTGAGTGTATACGAATATTGTTGTAGATCACCGAAATGATTGCATCTTAATTTCGTTGTACTATGTACGATGACAATAAAGTATATTACTATTACTATTAGAAAAGAGCAAGAGTCCAGTGGCACTTTAAAGACCAACGAAATATGAGGCAGGGGATGAGTTTTCATGAGTCGCTGCTCACTTCTTCAGAAACAGCACTTCTTTAAGGTGCGACTGGACTCTTGCTCTTTTCTACTGCTACCCATCTTGATCTATAGGGACACATGTCTAGTAAATATATTTATTATCCATCTGTTGAATCGTCTATGTTATAGTCAAAAGAACCTGAAAGACAGTTTTAGGGAGCTGTGTGTTATTAAGGAAATAGCTATCACTAAAGCTCGTCTTTGAGAAAATGTATTTTCTGACAGTGACCATTTGGACAGGTTTGGACTAGGCTCAGGTTTGAATCAGATTTAGGGCTTCTTCATACGACAATGTTCCTTCATGCTACAGTTCTAATCCTTTTATAAAAATGCCCCTGTGAACATTTTCTGTTTTAGGAGAGCCAGTTTGGTGTAGTGGTTAAGTGCGCAGACTCTAATTTGGGAGAACCGGGTTTGATTCCCCACTCCTCCACTTGCACCTGGCTGGATGACCTTGGGCAAGCCGTAGTTCTGATAAGAGCTGTTCTGGAAAAAGAGCAGTTTCTGTCAAGAGCTCTCTCAGCCCCACCTACCTCACAGGGTGTCTGTTGTGGGGAGGGGAAGGGAAAGGAGTTTGTAAGCCTCTCTGAGACTCCTTTGGGTAGTGAAGAGCAGGGTATAAATCCAATCTCTTCTTTTCCTCTTCTCTCTTCTTACACATTTTGCGAAACAGTAGAAGTGTAGGGGGGCAGTGTTCCCTCTAAGCTGAGTTAGTGTAAGCTAGCTCGCAGTTTTTTAGCCTCTGGCTCACACATTTTTGTCTTAGCTCAGGAAGGATGGCTCCAGAGCAAACTAATTTATGCCGTAGCCAAATCGCTCACTCACAACTTTAATGCCAGTAGCTCACAAAGTAGAATTTTTGCTCACAAGACTCCACAGCGTAGAGGGAGCATTGGTTGGGGGGCTTCCTGACCTCTTCAGGCAGTGCATTCCACAAGGTGGGAGCCATTAAAGAGGATGGATGTGAACCGGCAACTGTCAATCTTACCTATTTGCAGGATGGCATGTGTTATGGAAGGAAGGGGAAATGGTGTCTTCCCTTGCTGGGAAACTACCTTAGACCAAGGGTTCCCTGGAAAACATCCTTGTGACCAGCTCCAACCACCCAATACCTGCCCAAAACATTTACCATGACCTGCTGAGAAGGCATTCTTCCAGCACAGTACTAGACCAATAATGAAGTAACAGGGTAGAAACTTTAGAAAATACCTTAGAACCAAACCAATAGCACCCATGCAGTCTACAGATTGAGAGAAGTATGCCACAGAAAGAAATCCTACATATTAAAGCAAATATATATATATTTATACAAAAACGTTTATTATAAAAGACAGAAAAAGAATGAAAAAATGTGGTTGGGTTCAAAAAAAGGGGTGGGGAAAAACATAATTGATGGAAAAGCACACAGCAACAACAGCACAGAGGGTCATATGAAAAACAACAGTGATGAACTAGCTAACACACATTACCTACACTGCAGCTGGATCTTCAGAGCATGTGCAGAGTTCCTTGCAGTTAACAAGAGGTTGGAGGGATTGTTAACTCCTACCCTAACCTGCTGTGAACCCAATATGCACTGAAGACTGGAAACTGAAGAGGGAACATCTCAAAGCTCCAGACGTCTATAGTCAAGGGAACTGGACCTAAGCCATCGTCCTTTCTACGAATGACAGGCGAATTTCTCCAATCTCGTGCATCCCCATCTCTGACGTCAGAGGCTACTGTTGCCAATCAGAGCCGAATAAAATATAGTCCCACCTCCATCGAGCACCTGGTCATGGCTCTGAACCTCCATGTCAAATAGGTGGCCTTGTACAAACGGGATGGTCCTTTTCCCAAAAGGGATTAAGTATGCCAGGATGGTCCAGCGTGGAATGGAGGGGAAAGGGTCCAGTTGGTGCGGAATACAGCAGCTTGGCTGTTATCAGGAGCGAGACGGAGCATTCATAGTACTCCCAATCTGCAGTCAATACACTGGCTCCCCATCAGTCACCAGGCTCAATTTAAAATACTGGCTTATTATTATTTTTAGTTCTTTTCCATGGCGGGTTCTTGCTATATCCAGTCGGCGGTGTCTTTGGCGGAGGTCTTTTTCTCTCATCCATCGGCTCCTTGGGGTGGTCTTACGGCGCACGGCTGCGCGATGCTGTAGCCGTTGGTCTCTGTCCCGCAGGCTCCGACCATGCTGCGTCACCATGCCACCACGACGCCCGGACCAATCACCGCTCAAGTCGCTCTGCTGCCCGTCGCCGGCCCAAGGCCATGTTTTCCCTGCCAGGTCGCCGCCTCGCCGCCACCACTCAGCCACCTCACTCCCAATTTTTCATTGGAGGTAGGGTGCCCCCCACTACCTAGGGGTGGGTACCCATTTATCTACTTGCCTTTAAGGGCTTCTGAACCACTGGGTGGGCGGGAGCTAGGACAAGAGCCGGGAGCTCACCCCGGCTGCGGTAGGACTCGAACAGCCATTAGGCTGTTCAGTGATAGATTACTTTTTGCAGGCTTTTACCGCCTGCGCCACCACTCCAAATCTCAGGTCCTACATAGGTCTTTCCCCTATGCTCCACCATGACAGCTTCGCTCATCTGAGCAGGGTCTTCTGCAGGTGCCAACTGGCAAATGGTCAAAATCAACCACTGCCTGGCAAATGGTCAAAATCAACCACTGTTCTAGCCCATACCTTGGGGAATGGTCTTCCTGAGGAGGTCAGGATGGTTCCCACTCTCCTGGCTTTCCGCACATCAAAAGTGAATTATTCCAGAGAGCTTTCCATGCAGGCAATAGGGTAGCACAGTACAAAGTGATTCACAAAATTACTTAGATAAATTATTAGGGATTGTGGTCTATGCTATTTTGCATTCTCTGTTGTGAGATGTGACCAGTGTCCCCTCTAAGCTGAGTTAGTGTGAGCTAGCTCACAGTTTTTTAGCCTCCGGCTCACACATTTTTATCTTCGCTCAGGAAGGAGGGCTCCAGAGCAAACTAATTTATGCTGTAGCTCACAACTTTAATGCCAGTAGCTCACAAGGTAGAATTTTTGCTCACAAGACTCCACAGCTTAGAGGGAGCATCAGATGGGACTATGTAATTTTGCATCATTTAATGTGTTATGTTAACATTTATGCTTAGTTTACAGGTTGATTCTACAACCCAAGTATTATTTCATTAGTTGTAGATTTTCCGGGCTGTATGGTTGTGGTCTTGGCATTGTAGAACCAGACGTTTTGCCAGCAGCTGCGACTGGCATCCTCAGAGGTGTAACACAGAAAGATGGAGTACTCTCTGCGTCGTCAGCTGCTGGCGAAATGTCAGGTCCTATAAGGCCAAGACCACGGCCATACAGCCTGGAAAATCCACAACAACTAATGAACTCCGGCCGTGAAAACCTTCGACAACATATTATTTCATTGTTTATCGAATATCCCATCCTGTTGATTGCATTGACTCACTGATACATCTGACACAAAGACATAGCACACAGTTCTCCTCAGAATAAAGTGAATAGCAGAATCCCGTGAATACTCAGATGAGAATCAGTACACGGACAGACAGTCAAAGCCACAGTAACCAGGTAGCCAGACTGCTGCAATGCATTCTAAATGGGTCTTTCCTTGAAGCCAGAATGCCCAGCTGGTACAGAATGCTGCAACTTAATTATTATCCAGGGCCAGGCATAAAACACATATGATACATAGCTGAGTAAATCCTATGGAAAAGTTTTAGGCTATTGGTTCTTTTCATAGTCCTTGTTACCTACAAAGTCTTTCAGGGCCTACATCTTACAGATCTATGGTACCATTGCTCTCCTCTGTGTGAAATCTTTGACGGGAAGTAAGATGTGTACTACTCTTGAAGATTTACCCACATTCCAATAATTTATATTGTTTTCTCCCTGTGTGAATTGTTCGATGGGTAGTAAGGTGGGATCTCTGACTAAAGCTTTTTCCACACTCCAGGCATTTATATGGTTTCTCCCCTGTGTGAATTCTTTGATGGGAAGTCAGATTGTAACTCTGACTGAAGCTTTTTCCACATGCCAGGCATTTATATGGTTTCTCACCTGTGTGAATTCTTTGATGGGAAGTAAGATTGCCACTCTGACTGAAGCTTTTTCCACACTCCAGGCATTTATACGGTTTCTCCCCTGCATGAATTCTTTGATGGCTAGCAAGACCTATATTGTGACGGAAGCTTTTTCCACACTCCAGACACTTATATGGTTTTTCTGTTGTGTGAATTCTTTGATGAGAAGTAAGCTCTCGACTACTCCTGAAGCTTTTCCCACACTCCAAGCATGTATATGGTTTCTCCCCTGTGTGAATTCTTTGATGGTGAGCAAGGCCAGAACTCTGACGGAAGGTTTTCCCACACTCCAAGCATTTATATGGTTTCTCGTCTGTGTGAATTCTTTGATGGGAGGTAAGATGTGCACGAGTCCTGAAGTTTTTGCCACACTCCAGGCATTCGTATGGTTTCTCCCCTTCATGAATTTTTTGATGGGAAGTAAGATGTGTAGAACTCCAGAAACTTTTGCCACACTCCAGGCATTTATATGGTTTTTCACCTGTGTGACTTCTTTGATGGAAAGTCAGTTGGTCACTCCGCCTGAAGCTTTTCTCACACTCCAGGCATTTATATGGTTTCTCCCCTCTGTGAATTCTTTGATGGGTAATAAGGCAGTCATTGCGCCTGAAGCTTTTTCCACACTCCAGGCATTTATATGGTTTTTCCCCAGTGTGAATTCTTTGATGGGAAGTAAGATATGTACAGCTCTTAAATTTTTTCCCACACTCCAGGCATTTATATGGTTTCTCCCTTGTGTGAATTCTTTGATGGGCAGTAAGGCTACCTCTCTGACGGAAGGTTTTTCCACACTCCACACATTCATATGGTTTCTCCCCTGTGTGAATTCTTCGATGGGAAGTAAGGTGACCTCTCTCATGGAAGCTTTTCCCACACTCTAGACATTTATATGGTTTCTCCCCTGTGTGAATTCTTTGATGGGAAGTAAGCTGTGTACTACTATTGAAGCTTTTCCCACACTCCATGCATTTATATGGTTTCTCCCCTGTGTGGATTCTTCGGTGGTAAGCAAGGCTTGAACTGTGAGTGAAGCTTTTTCCACACTCCAGGCATTTATATGGTTTCTCCCCTGTGTG